TTTCCTATCTTCTTCTAACAAAGGACCAATCTCTTTAGCCAAATCAAATTCCTTAATCAAATTTAGGCATTTGCTTTTTTTCTGATTTTGATTGCTCTTTATAATCTTGCTTCCAAGATTTTAGAAAAACTTTGACTGAATTGAGCTTCTTTGCATGAATATGCGAGCTAGAACCCGAAAAATCTGAATCTGATGGGGAAATTTTCTCACCCTTTGAAAGACACTTTATTTGGGAGCTATGCCCTATTGGTATTTTGAAGGGGCCTTTTACATGTCTTCATGGCAGTTACTTTTGGTCTTCTAGTGGCTTTATTGGGAATCTAGAATTCCAAATAAGAAGCAGAGATGAGGGGGCTTGCATTGCCAAGCAGGCCCATAGTGATGTAGAGTTGTTGGGTCCCTAGAGGGCTGAAGCTTAACTCTACAGAAAATTGTGTTGCTAATCTATGATTAATAGGGATCCTACACATAGTGATGGCTTCCTGAGTAATTCTTCATGGTGGTTGAACTGTCTATTCGTTGATCTTGTGCAGCTTTGTGTATCTCCTCATTATAATAAACTGAATGCTTTTGTATGTCGTGATTTTAAACTACTAAGAAATCATGTATGCCATGATTTTTACCTTATTTCAGGAATTGTACCTATACTGCTAAATGAAATTAAATGCATACAAAAGCCAAAAACATTATGGCATACAATTGGGTTTTCTTTTCTACCTTATTTCAAATAACCTTGTTGGTACTCACTCAACCAAAGGAGATCTTCACTAAATGACCAAGACTGATGAGTAGCAAAAAAGCCAAAACTTTTGGATCACTATCCCTTCTGTAGTTTGATGGGGCATTTAGAGAGAATAAAATAGGCATATTTTTTAAGACAAGGCTAGAGATAGAATGAAAACTAAGGCTGTAATTAGGTCTTTATGTGGACTGGGTTCTTGTACACACAGAGTTTAAAGATATGAATAGAGGGGATTTGATAGATAGGTTGTGGGACACATTAGAATTTGACAGGTTACTTTGGAGGTTCTTGTTCTAATTTTCTATGTTTGAACTAAGAGTGATAAGCTAATATGTGGATATCTAGTGAAAACTCTTCACCTATGGGATAGGAACATCAGTGATAGAACCACCAACTTCCTACTAACCATCAGGAAAAGGCTAATTGGATCACTTACTATTTATTTTGAAATTTAAAAATACTTTCATAGCTTCTTAGTTTTCAGTTATTTAATTGATTAAAGAAACTTGTCTATAGTGGAGCCAAATTTAAAAAAAAAAACCTTTTACTTTTGATCCAAACTCAAACTTACAAAGAATTTAATTACTTTCTACTTTGAGAGAAATGCATAAAAAAATAACAGCCACAAGTTTGCCTTTTAACTAGGAAATTCCACTATAGTGTTGCAGTTTTGGTTGGGCAATAGGAGATTAAAGATTTTCTTTGGGATCAGGAATTAGTTTAGGAAAGTAATAAAGTACAGTTTTATGGGTATTAATGATTGATGCATATCAATCTTGGAGCCGTGCATAAACTAAGCAGGTTTAATCAGTTCTAGATTCAATTGGCGAATGAAAAAGTTGAGTCAGGAAGAAGTAAAATTGTTCACAAACATGTATGATTCAAAACACACTAATAATCTTAAATGTATAAGGAAACACAAAAGATTCGAACATTTTCGAGGAGCTACTAAACCCAGAGTTTACAACTCAGGTATATATCTATCGCTTTGATCGAACCACAAGGAAAATCTCAACAAAGCAAGAGTGGATTCCAAGGCTCCTATGAGTGCAACTCCTATGATCCGGAAATGTGGGCAAATTGGTTGCAGTAAATTAGTAAAAGACAGTGGAGATGACATAGAAAATGAGGATAACCAAGGATTAAACGTTGAAGAGGATGAGCTTATGGACGAGGAATGGGGTGATCAAAACGACCAGATATCCTAAAAATGGAAGAGAGCAACGAAGGCTGTGAACTCACCAAGTCTAACAAGAAAAAGCTCCATATGAAGAAAAGGACAACATGGGTCCTTCGAATCTAAATCTTATTAGTACTCATAGGCCATCATCTATATGCTCCTTTATGGAAACAAGGGTTAATTCTACTCATGCAAATAAAACAGAACAAATGACCAGTTGGAACAACCGGATTAGAGGCATTGCTAATAACATCAATGGTCCTTGGTGTCTTTCAGGGGATTTCAACAATTATATATCAATTGAAGATATAAAAGAGGGGGTAGGGACCCTCAGCCTAGTGCCAAATGAGAAAATTTAACAACTTTATTAATGAATGTAACCTAATGAAAGATTTACTGTTTGTTTACATGGAAGAATAAAAATATTATTGGGTGTTTGGCAATGAGGATTGGAGACTCCAATTCCCAAATGTTGTTCTCTCCAACCTCCCATTTATGGCATCGGATCATTCCCCGTTCTTGCTGCTCCAAACGGATATACAAAGTTATAGGGGGCCAAAACCTTTCAAGTTTGAACCAATGTGGTGCAATGACCCTAGTATTATTGATGTTATTAATAAGGGATGGATGGAGTATGGAAGCTAATGGCTCCAAAGCTATGCAATTCATTAAAAAAATAAATAACCTTGTAAAGGACCTAAGGGAGTGGAGTAAGAAAAATTTTGGTGATTTATTTAAAAGAAAAAGAAAAAAATCCTTTTAGAAAGACTAAAGAATATCTAGAAGGATATTAGTGAAGATTTGAATAACTCTAGCCTCATAAATCTTGAAAATGCCTTCCAAAAGCAATTAAATAAAATTCTAGAATATGAGTGTGGATAAACGACCAAGAAAATATGAAAGGAATTTAGTGGAAAATTTTAATCGAAGATTTAAGTTTGAAGGAATCAGTGGAGTAGATGAATTTTTAAATGTCTTAAATAATTGCATCACGAAGGATCAAAATAATTTAATTACTAAGAAAATCACAAATGAGGAAATTCGTGATGCTCTCGAAACTATGGGAGATCTTAAGGCTCCAGGTCCAGATGGACTAAATGCCCTATTTTTAAGAAATATTAGAATACCATTGGAGAATCTGTCTGTGGTGTTATTAAAGCCTTCTTCCATAATGGAAAAATGTGTAGAATCTTGAACCAAACCTTTATTACTATGATTCCAAAGAAAAAGAGCCCAAATAATGCAAATGAGAGCCTATGTAATGTCATTTACAAAATTATTGCAAAGATTTTGGTCAATAGAATCAATTCTTGACAACATTATTTCCCCATATCAAAGTGCTTTTATTCCTAATAGACAGATTAATGATAATGATCTTATTGCTCATGAGATGATTCATTCTATGCAAAAAAAAGAAGGGTAAAACAAGAATTATAGCTTGCAAAATTGATACGGAGAAAGCCTATGGCAGGTTGGAATGTGAATTCATTGAAAATGTTCTTCAAAAGTTTGGATTCCATGAAAAATGGATTGCTGGGTTATGGAATGTATCAAATCGGTCTCTTATAGAATTTTAATAAATGGGACTCCTTCAGTTGAATTCGTTCCAAGTAGGGGTATTAGGCAGGGGGATCCTCTGTCTCCTTACATTTTTGTTCTCTGTGCTAAGGCTCTTGCAAAGAATTTGGAAAAAGAAGCAGATTCTGGTACCAATAAAATTGGGTGTAGAATTTCTAGAGGGGGTCCAAAGATCCCCATTTTGCAATTTGCTGACGATTGTATTATATTTGCAAATACTATGATTCCTACATGCATGAAAATTAAGGAAATCCTCTCAAATTATGAGAAAGCATCGGGACTAACCCCAAATTTAAACAAATCCTCAATCTTTATATCAAGGAATATTCACCCAAAGCTTCAAAAAATGATTTCAAGGATGCTAAGAATTCCAAAGGAATTGAATCCAAAGAACTATTTAGGTGCTCCTTTAATAAACAAAAGAGTTACAAAGAATAAATTTTCCTTCATCAAGGAGAAAATTATCCAAAAGTTAGCAAATTGGAAAAAAAATCCTCTTTCCACTACAAACATGATGCCCCAATATATCATGAGGTCATTTAAAATTCCAAATAATGCTTTAGAGAAGCTAGAAAGAATTCAAAGATAATTTTTATGAACAAAGAATGAAGGGAAGAAACCCCTTCACTTAATGAAATGGAGATGCATTTGTACTCCCAAAAGATGGGGAGGTTTAGGAGTTAGAAATCTCCAATGGGTAAATGAAGCAAACCTTGCAAAATTAGGATGAAAAATATTAAATAAAGAAAATAATCTTTGGGTTAAACTCATTAAAAGCAAATATATAAAAGGAAATTCTTTTTGGGGTATTAATCCAAAAAATGGTTCCTCATGGGCATGGAGAGGTATCCTCTATTCCAAAGATCTTTTGAAAAAAGGTATTAGATGCCAAGTTGATAATGGGCAAACAATTAGTTTTTGGCATGACAAATGGGTTACCAATAAACCTTTATCAGAAATAATTTCTATTGAAAATGAGGAGTGACAATATTATGGTATTAGATTTGATTAACTTTGAAGGGGAGTGCTGGGATGAACCCAGAATTCTAGCAATTGTTCCTAATGCTTTATTGGAAAAAATCAAATCCATTTTTATCTCTCCACACTTAGAAGATAAAGTTATATGGGAGGGGAGCTCTTTAGAAGATTTTACTATTAAATCAGCCTATTTGCCCTCCAAAGATCAAAACCTTTATTTTCCTTCTCTTTCAAAATAAGCTCCTTTCTAAGATGCATTTGAGGAAAAGAGACTTTGATATTGATGGATCTTGTAGCTTCTACGGAGAGGAGGAAGACTTAGATCATATTTTCAAGTATTGTCCTTTCTCTTATCAAATTTGGTCTATCCTCTGTGACCCGTTAGTGGGTCCGTTGGATAGTGACCAAACCCTTCTTGACTGGTGGGTCAGACTGTAAAAAAAAAAAAGAATAACATTGTGGGYTATTTGGAAAAATCGAAATCAGAAAATTTTTACTAACATTGCGATGCCCCCTCAAACAATTCTTGATCGAGCCTTTCATTCCTTCGTGGAATTCTTGGAAATAGAAAAATGTGCAGCCATAGATTCCTTTCATAAGAATTGGAAGCCCATCGTATGGTCTGCTTCGTCTCAAGATAGCATAAAAATCAATTTTGATGCTTCTCGTATCTTAGATGGTCATTGTACTGTTGCTTGTATTGCTCGTAACCATCTTGGTCGTGTCTTGGATGCCAAACCTGTCAAGATTGGATTCTGTACAATACCCAAGCTGAAGCATAGATTGGATTGCCTGGAAAACCATAAATTTCCGAAGGCGACTCAAAGTTAGTGATTTCATACCTCAACCAGAATACAAAGCCCCCTTTAGAAGATGAGAAACACTAAGGATGAAAAACACCTTTACTAAAAGATTTTTTTCTCAGCATGTCTACGGAGCAGTGAACCAGGCCACAGATTAGATAGCTCGTGAAGCCCAAATTGCTGCTTCAGAGTTTGTAACTTATATTCCCTTTCCCCTTCTCTTTTTTCTATTTATTTAACTAGGGGCGCACTACCCCGGTTTCTTGTAGTGCTCTAATTATTAATTACTGTAAACTTGGCATTGCCAAAGATTTTAGATACCACGGGAGTAAAAGTCAACCAAGAGCAAAAGCAGATCTCAAAACCAGTTCAGGAAGCGCATGTTGACGTTACTCCCATAAGAGTCTCCAGAGTTTCAAAGAACAAAACGACTTCCGCAGACAGCCGATTTTTCTCTGGTGTTACAACCATAATTCTTCCGACCGAGCAACCAAAAGAATCTCTCCGAGCCTCTACATGGCCCAAGAGGAAATCGAGAAGAACATTGTACCACCTCTATGCCGACCTCCCCCAGTACTCTCTCTCTCTCTCTCTACCCGTGGTATTTGAGTCTCTGATATTGCGGATTCGTTTCATCCGTTTGATACAAAATTACAAATACAACTATTGATTGTTAGCTTGGTTGCCACTTGGATAACAATTTCGAAGTCTACTCTTTTTTCCTTTCAATTTCTCAAGAAAGAAAAGTAAAAGATTAGACTTCAAAATTTTATGGGTCCAATTTGAATTTAGCATTCTTTTGGTGAAGTTCATTTAAAATCCTTGATTAATGGGTTTCCACTTCAAATCTTGTATGGTATGCTTTGGGAGGACAAGTCTTTTGGATCTATTGTTTTTTTTTTTTTTGCCTTTTTGATAATTCTTTTGGGTTTCCGTGCCTTTGATTGGTCTGTGAACGCTCATAATTATCCCTAGCATCACAAGAAAAAGAGAAAGTAACGCTAATTTGTTTCTGGGTTTCTGAATATTTGACGAGTGGTTGTATTTCTTAGTTGATTTTGATTTCTTTTCTTGTGTGGAGTAGTTTCTAGAGGTTCTCTGCAAAAGCTCTGGCATTGTAAGGCGATTTGCTGCTGGTACAGAGGCTGTATTTGCGTTGTCTTTGATCAATCGGAAGTTGGGTCCTGGTGTTCCACTCGCTTTGCATATTGAGGCCATTAAAGAAGGGGAGGAACCTGTCGGTTTTGGTCCTAATTCCCTCCTTGTGGACTATGGTGAAGGCTGGAGGTTGCAGACCGTTACAGAAGCAGAAGAAGGTTTCTATGATGGATTTCACCAGCAACGATTTAAAATTAATTACTTTCACCAGTTGTAGTAATTTTTTAGTACTGGAAATTTCTCAGTATAGTTGTTAGAAATTTATGATGATTTGGTTTTCTTTCTAAATGCAGGTCCTGAGATGGGAAGAGGTTCCCTGCCAGCTCTGAAACAGATTCCTACTGTAATTGTATGCATTCCCCGTTCTCTTCTACTTTTGGCTATTTTAATAAGATTCTGGAACAAACTTTAAACCTATGATGATTATGAGCAGCTGATGGGCCTAAGTTTACCCTATCATGCAAAATTCTACCTGAAAGTAGGATTTCTTTTGAGTTCATCTATTTTAAGCTAATTACCATCAAAGTCTTAAATTCCAGCCTTGAACTAGTTTTTAACATAGTTTGGAAAATAAATTACAACCAAGCTTCCATTAAAACATCTATCAGAAGACTCAGAACAAGGAAAAATACTCTAAATATGAAAATGGAAAATCCATGTCTTTTTTCCTCAAATTCACCATGAAACTTCGATATTTCTACCTGACAAAGGGGAAAATCTCAAAAAAAATGGAAAATGAATGTTTTTTATCTCCTCAATATTCACCTTAAAACTTCAATGTTTCTGCTTGATAAAAGGTAAAATATTAAAAAAATGGAAAACCAATGTTTCTTTTATCCCTTTCCCAGGTTCACCCTCAAGCTGGAATCAGATCTTATAACCTTGTACTAACCAGTTTAAAAGTAATCTGAGCCCAGTACTAAATTCATACTTACAGATCTTTTTTGGGGCCCACAGTGTCTATTCACAGAATCTGACTTATAGAATTATAAGAAAACAAGAAAATAATTTCTTTAGTTAATATTCTACTTAATGTAGGTTCTATTGTTTCTTTCATGTAGAAGATAGCTCATCTAGGTTACCATTAATGAATTAGAATTGATATTCCAATGTATGAAGGGGAATACCATTGTCATGGGGTGCCAAGTCTACAAGCCTTTGAATCTCAATCAACATAAGTAACCAGGGATGTTTTAATAAAAGGACCCCTAAACCATATCAATATAATGCATCTTATCTAACTTTAAACAATTAATCTTACATGCTATGTATCTGGTGCTATAAACTCCTGTTGTTTAAATTTGTTTGTTATTAGGTGATTGAGTTATGGTATAAGCTTCATCATATATGATTTGTTTCCTGTGCTGATTTTGCAGAGATCAGAAAGATTAGATACTGCAAAGCAATCCACTTCGGTGTCAACCCCTCCGATTACTCTTCTATATATTGGGAAGATATTTCTTGCTTTCATTTTTATTTTCATTCTAGGTGCAATTCTTACTTTGTTTCTTGAAAGTCTTCCCAGGTTAATTCTTATCATTACCTCGTTTATGTAGCACTTAATTCTTACTTCATGAACTTTTTAGTTCCAAATTTTTAGTAGATTTTTTTTCCTTTTTTTTGGGGGCGTTTTCAAATTTCCATTGACAATTGTGATTACAGTCAGAACAATTCATCTAGAGCTTGCGAGTTTGTTCAGTGTATCTTTTCTGTAGAAATGTACATCAAACTATCAATGCAAAAGCTGTTCTTCTAAAAGTCAAAGGTGGAATAGTTTTCTTCCAATCTTCATATACTCCTGTTTTTGTAGATGGCATATTGTATATTTAAAATTCATGGCAATGAGCATAGATGTGGTGTCTTTCTCTTGGAGGCTCTGTTTACAAGGCTTAGGTGTGAATCCTGTGGTTATTAGGGCCTCTATTATTCATTTTTTTCTTTGGGTTGGTAATTCCTCCTTTTGTTGATTTATTGAAGTATTATCAATCAAAGAAAAGGAAAAAAAAAAAAAGAAGAGGTCTGGATGGCCATTACATGTTCTGTTCATCAGAGCCATCTAATACTTTGGATCATCCAATGGGTCCAGTGTACCTCTAGAATCACTTCAACAGATTATCAAATTATCATTGCCATAAAATTAACTTAGATGGTATAAGGGCTATAGAAAAAAAAAATCACCAATAAAAGTTGTCTTTTCAGATAGGAAGCTTTGTAGTTTTCAAAGAACACTTCTATTGATGGCCCACATATATTGAATGGTTACCGAAGTGGATAAGCTTTGGTCTACCACTTCCAATTGTTACTATACTTTTTAGCCACATGGGTAGCTATATCTTGTAGCTTGTTTTGTAAAATTAAAAATTCAAAGCAAGTTGGCTGAAGTGGAGATATGTACTTGATGCATATGTCACTGATGTATACTGATTAGACATGTGAAGAATTTTATAAGAGGGCATTAAGATTAATTATGATACATGGAGCAGGATGTTATCTGAGCATTAAGTACAGATTATGTGGGAGAAATTTTATAAGGCAGTAAAAACACTGGGTATGCTTGATCAATCAGAACAATAGGCAACTAGTAAAGTATCATTTACAGACCACAGATACGGCTCAAATGAGGATGTTGAATTGGACAAACAGCACTATGAAATATGAAACAGTCAATCTATCGAAGAATGAGTGCAATGACTGATAAAATTAATAAAGAAGTTTCTCTAGATGGTTTGGTATGTCCCATGGAGATCATTAACTGTATTCGAGGCAGGATTCTGGTGTGAATTGAAGGCTCAAGGAAAAGGAGTGAGACTGTTATTTGAACTGTGCAAACAAATGGAAGGATTATGATGGGAAAGTTGCATTGAAAGATTCACTCTTTCTCTCATGTACTTGCTAAGGGCTGTTTTGAACAGGTAAGCCTATCTGGGGTAGCCATGACTGATTTTAACTCTACTGGTTTTTGAACATGTAGAGGATGGATTCTTCTTGAAGAGATGCCTGACAGTATTGAAAAATTACTTAGATAATAGTTAAAAGAAGAATCTAGTATCAAAGTTTCATTTAGAATTTGCTTCACACATGCTACACTGAGTTCAAGCTGGCTCAAAGTGGTAATTTCGATCTGAGTTCAATTTAGCTTACAGGTTTTATCATTGTTTGCAAGCTATTGCTGATCCCTTCAACAAATCGGTTTTGAGAATGTTTCAAAGACTTTCAATAGCCTTGTTAAAATTATTGCTTAAGGTATCTTGATAAGAATTTCTGAAGAACATTAATGATGAAGTTAAATCTGGTAAAGAGATAGAAGGATTAGTTAAGGGAGAAGAATGAGTCTTTTCTCTACAAGTGTGTCAAAAAAGGAGGGGAGGAAAACATCTAAAGGTTATCCTAGTTTCATTTTCCCATCAAATATGACCTAACAATCGATCTATTTCTCCTCTTTATCTGATTCCGATTTTTAAATACAACACTGTAAATCTGGAATGGCTTATTTAGGTTATCTTTTAAATACTAAGTACTCTTCCTTACTCCCACATTTGTAGAAAACTAGTTGATTTCTGTCATCACCATTTTGTTAAAAGCCCTAAGTTCCCATTGAAGACTAAGCAAGATCTGTTTTGGACACCTGATTCAATATGGAATTGTTTCTTTTAGTTATCCTTAGATGCAAATGCTCTCACACAATCACTGTAGAAAGCTGGTTGATTTCTCTCATCATTTCTATGTTCAAACTTAAAGTGACAATTAAAGGCAACTGGCTTAAGTAGGTCTTGCTTTATATTGTTGTTGAGCTGTTAAATAGTGCTTAGAGTAGTAAGCAGATTCTTCCTTTGGTTTTTACTTGTATCGAATGAAGATTGTTACCTGGATATGGCAAGAAGACAGCTGGATAAGATATTAGACATGAAATTTACACTAAAATGAAGTGTCTGACACAATATATGACACCCTTGTATGGGTATACAGGTATTTAGTGACTAACACAATGTAGGTAACCTTAAATCTGTTAATCTTGTTACTATTCACTCCCATCTAGTTTTTGATAATAGTCTGAGGATCTCCCCATGTTCTTTGATGTAATCTTAGTTATGTGCCGCAAGGTCACTTTTGTCTTTTCAGCCTTTTTTATCTCTTATGTGGTCGCCCTATTATTTAAAATAAGAAAGACTGGCGCTGCCAGTATAGCAGCTTCAATCTCCATCTTCTCTTCTCTTCCTTCTCTTCTCCCCTCTTCTTCTTCTCCTCTTCTCTTCTCTTCTTCACTCTTGAATGAAATCATGGTAACAGAGCAGGACTGCACTCTGTAAAAAGTTTTTTTTTTTTTCTGATCGAAGATCTTTTAAACGACATACCTGGACTGAGAATGAGAAAACTGGTTCGACCTGCACTGAGAACTGTTGCTGGACTTTATTCTATTAACTTTTAAACAGAAACTGAGAAGAAAAATCAAACTCAGAGATTGGTGGATGATTGACTGGGTTTTTCTTGAGGTTGGTTGCTGTGTTTCTTCTTTTCTCCCATTCTTCTCTTGACTGTAACTTCCAAAACCAGTCGAACTGATCAGGAACCTTGACTGAAGTTCTCTTTTATCACTGGCTCTTGGTATTGTTACCAAGAACATCCTAAAATCTACCCTAGCCGAATGGTGTAGGCGAGTTCAATGACCTCTGTAGGTCGGTGATCCAAAATTGTGTGGGTAAAGAACCTGTGTAGGTCATATGTGACCTGGTTCAGATGAACAAATACACCAGCAGAAGTGTAGATGTTATGTGTGGCTTAAACTAGCCCTTGTGAGGTCGGAGAGACCTGTAAATTCTTGACGGCAGGTGCTGTGTTACTGTGACTGCAACCCTTGTGAAGTCAGTTAGACCTGCAAATCTGTGACAACAGGTGCTGAGTTACCGTGGCTTTTTTTTTTCACCTTAAATCTTACAGTGGGGGTTGTGTGTTTGTGAGTGTGTGAGGAGGGTTGTAAGTCTGAAACTTCTGCTTGCAGCCCCTGTTATGGCCTCTGAAGACTGCAACTTCTGGAACATCCTTCAACCAGGGAGGAGTGAACAGCAGTCTTGACTCTATGAACTTTCCAACGACCATTTCTCCCTTAGATGGTAGAAATTATTTGACATGGTCTAAGGAGATGCGGTTGTACATCATAGCCTGGGGTAAGGCAAGGTATATCAATGGAAAAGTGAAGGAACCTAGGACCGGTACTGCTGAATAAGATAAGTGGGACCAGGAAAATTGCATGATTATGTCATGGCTTTTGACTACTATGCTACTTTCGGTTAAGCAGAACTTTATGTGGGCTGAGACAACCAAGGAAATTTGGGAACAAGCAAGGTCAACTTGCTCCGAGCAGAGACACTATGCCAGAATCTATGAATTGCAAGCTGAGTCAGCAACATGCAAACAAGGGGAAAGAAGCTTATCCACCTACTACTCTACCCTTACATTTATCTGGAAAGAGCTAGATTACTATCAAAACATTGACTAGGAGAGTGAAAAGGATGCCAAAGCTTACAAACAGTTAGTGTCACAGCAGCGGGTGTTTTCCTTTTTGTTAGGACTTAATCCTATGTATGAACCAATTCGAGTTCAAATTTTGGGCAGTAAGGACCTTCCTTCTGTCTAGGAGGTGTATGCTCTAGTCCAGTCCAAGGTAAGTAGAAAATCTGCCATGAATCCCCCCGAAGGGGAGACCATTGCTTTAGTTGCAAGAAGTAATACTAATTCAGCCAAAAGGGGAGATGGTCAGAAAAGGGTTGATGATAAAGATAAACTGTGGCGCACTCATTGTCAAAAACCCTGTCATACACAGGAGACGTGTTGGGAATTAAATGGAAAGTCGAAGTGGGGACAAGACCTAAATAAGAAATCAGCTCCAGAACAGAACAAGAAACCAAATCAGAAGAGGTTCACTTCGGCTAACTTGGCTTCTCATGAGTCGCAGAGTGGAGGAATTTCTTTGAACTCTCAGGATGGCCCCCCAGGTCTGGTCTCAAGGAAAATATTATCTCTGACTTCCATGACCAATTGGAACAATATGGTAGGGCTCTCACACAAGCAGATTTTGGACCCATTCCTTCAACTTCCTTCGCTTCTACCTCAGGTAACTTAGCTTCTTCATTCCATGTGTCTACTGATACTTCTGAATCTCCATGGATTATTGATTCTGGTGCTTCCAATCACATGACTGGTAAGTCAACATTTTTTCAATCATACACCCTTCTTTCTGGCAAAGATAAAGTGAGACTAGCCGATGGATCATTCTCCTCCATTGCTGGTTGAGGATCTATATCTTTTCCATTCAGCTTACCTAAAACATTGGATAGAGGTAAGTAAACATTGTGTATTCTGATGTTTGGGGACTTGCAAATATTCCAATGGAAAATGGCTATAGATACTTCATACAGCTAAGTAAACATTGTAGAACTTCATTTCCTTTACGTAATAAAAGATTAGATGTTTCTTTTTCCATTGTGTATTCTGATGTTTGGGGACCTACAAATATTCCAATGGAGAATGGCTACAGATACTTCATATCTTTCATTGATGACTTCTCTCGATACACATGGGTGTACCCTATGCACTCTCGAGAAGTTCCTAAACTTGTGAAATCCTTCCAACGTATGGTGTACACACAATTTTAGACAGAGATTAAAATTTTCCAATCAGACAATGTCAGAGAGTATTTTCATGGTGACCTCACGGAATTTTTTGAAACTTGTGGCTCTCTTCACTATAGCTCTTGTGCTCAACAGAATGGGGTTGTAGAGAGAAAGAACCGTCATCTTCTAGAGGTCGCTCGGGGGCTGCTAATACACATCAATATTCCCAAAAGATTTTGGGTGGATGCTGTTATGACTGCGACTTATCTTATCAATTGGATGCCATCTCGTCTCTTGGAATACAAGTCCCCTCATCAACTTATCTTCCCCACTGCTCCATTGTTTCTTATCCCATGTGTGTCTTTGGGTGTAAATGTTTTGTCTCCTACCCCCGGGAAGCTAGATCCCAAAGCCATTGTTTGTGTTTTCCTTGGCTACCCCCTTTCCCAAAACGGTTATCGTTGCTTTGACCCTATCTCCAAAAAGTACTTTGTATCCATGGATGTTTCTTTCTTTAAAGATGTGTCTTTCTTCCCTGCTTCTCCTCAGGGGGAGAGTCCAAGTGAGGAGAAATAGTCAGGTTTTGTTACCTTCTCCTCCTGACTCTCCTCCATTCCGGGTCTTCTGTACACAGCGGTACAAAAGTCAAGGCCAAGTCAACAAAGTTCAATAGACATAGAGCATCCTGAAGCTGTGCAACCTATGCCATCGGACTCTCGGGGGTTGAATCCATTACCACATCCAGGTACTATTGTTCCAGTTGATGTCTCTGAACCTATTGATATTGATACTTCTAATTGTGGTTTGGACCTTCCTATTGCTAAGAGGAAGGGTGTTAGATTATGCACCACACACCACCCAATGGCTCACTCCTTATCTTATGWGAATGTTTCACCCTCTTTTCGTGCTTTCCTCTCTGCTATTGATAGTATTTCCCTTCCCAAAAGTGTTGTAGAAGCTTTACTTGTTCCTGAGTGGACAGATGCAATGAAGGAGGAGATCAATGCCCTTCACAAAAATGGCACGCGGGAGTTGGTAGATCTTCCTAAAGGAAAGGAGCATGTGGGGTGCAAATGGATAATCTTTGTGAAACATAAGGCAGATGACATAGTGGAAAGGTACAAGGCCTGCCTTGTTGTAAAAGGTTTTTCACAGGTATATGAAGTTGATTATGCGGAAACCTTTGCACCTATAGCAAAAATGAATTCTATCTGAGTCCTTTCTTGAGCTTCATCAACTGAACATTAAAAATGCCTTTTTGAATGGTGACTTAGAAGAAGAAGTGTACATGACCCAACCTCCAGGTTTTTGTGCTAAGGGAAATGAGCAGAAAGTCTGCAGACTGAAGAAATCTCTCTATATGTCTTAAAACAGTCTCCAAGGGCCTGGTTCAGTAGGTTCCACAAGGTAGTTTAACAAATGGGCTTTAAGTAGTGCAGTCTGATCACACACTCTTTGTGAAGAGAGAATAAGGAAGAATGGCAGCTTTAATTGTGTATGTCGATGACATTATTATCACCAGTGGCTGGGACTCAAAGATACAAAGATTGAAGAGATTCTTGTCTACTCAATTTGAAGTGAAGGATTTGGGGCCTTTACATTATTTCCTCGGAATTGAAGTTACCCGCTCAAATCAGGGTATCTTCATCTCCCAGAGGAAATATATTCTAGATCTCTTGAAAGATACAGGGAAGCTTGGAACAAAACTTGCTGACACTCCTATAGATGTTAACCATAGACTTGGGGATTGCAGTGATGAGCCCATAGTAGACACAAAGCAGTATCGAAGATTGGTGGGCAGACTTCTCTACCTATCTATGACAAGACCTGACATTTTGTATGCAGTGGGAGTCCTTAGTCAGTTTATGCATGCTCCCAGGACCACACACTTGGATGCAACATACAGAGTTCTTAGATATTTAAAATAATTCCCCGGGGATGGACTCCTATTTGAAAAACATGGACATATGAAAGTTGAGGTTTACACTGATGCAGATGGATGACAGAAAATCCATTAGTGGCTATTGTGCTTTTGTTTGGGGAAATCTTGTTACTTGGAGGAGTAAAAAACAAAGTGTTGTGGCCAAATCGAGTGCAGAAGCTGAATACAGGGCTATATCTCATGGTGTGGCAGAACTTCTATGGATAAAGAATCTCTTGGGTGAATTGGGCTTTCCTTTCAGTGACCCTATGTCACTCTACTGTGACAATAAGGCAGCCCTCAACATTGTAGCCAATCTAGTTCTCCATGATAGAACTAAACATATAGAGGTTGACAAACACTTCAATCAGGGAAAAATTGGAAAAAGGAAAAGTTTGCATTCCCTACATCAGTTCTGAGGAACAACTTGCAGACATTCTTACCAAAGGATTACACTCCATGTGGCACTATAATCTTTGTGACAAGTTGGGGATGATTGATATCTACGCCCCAACTTGAGGGGGAGTGATGTAATCTTAGTTATGTGCCGCAAGGGCACTTTTGTCTTTTCATCCTTTTTTATTTCTTATGTGGTCGCCCTATTATTTAAAATAAGAAAGACCGGTGCCGCCAATATAGCAACTTAGATCTCCATCTTCTCTTCTCTTCCTTCTCTTCTCCTCTTCTCTTCTCTTCTTCACTCTTGAATGAAATCATTCTTTATCCTGTTGGAGCTTTTGGTAGAACCTGTGTTTGAAAATTCTCTGATGTTCAATGCTTGCTATACTCTAGGTTTCAGCTGACAGTGATGAATCCTCACAGGAAACCAGATGACTTATGAGTCTCCACATGCCTTGTGACATTTGAATTGGCTTGACTTTGATCTTTTGGTTCTTTGTAGACTAAATTTCTTAGATGGTGGTGAACTTTCTAAGTGCCTAACTATTTTTTTTTTTATCAATAACCGCATATTTAATTAAATAGTAGTAAACTTAAGTACATTGAACTTAAGTACATTGAACTTCCATATTCTTAACTCCCCAGAAGTTGGGAATGCATTCTCTTTACCTAAGTACATTGAACTTCCATATTCTTGATCAACCATTTGAACTTTCTCTTTTCATTACTGTAGCTCCACATCTTAGAGGTGTCTTCTTTTAGCCAGTTCACTACAATCACAGAATCTCCCTCTATAATCAATTTCTTGACACTTAGGTCTTTGGCCCTTTGTACCCCTTCCAAAGCTGCTAACACCTCAGCCCTCAAAGAGTCTCCCACTCCAATTGGGCCAGAGAACATAGCTATTACATTACCTTTCTCGTCTCTTAGCACACTCCAATACCCGAAGGCCCTGGATTCCCCATGCTACTGCCATCAAAATTTAGTTTCATAAAACCAAGAGGTGGAGGGTTCCATGTGAGATTCAAGGTCTTCTTACTTGAGACTAACCTAGCAATTTCTTTCCATTTTCTTAACATATCATCTATTGAAAAATCTGTGAACTCATTCATTGTTTTCAGCTAGTGTATTACCCTTATATGAATCACTTCTAGCATAATTTCCAGATCTCTCTCCTTTTCTGAAAAGATCCTTGAATTTCTTTCTTCTCATATTGTCCAACAAACAGAAGCTCTCACACATCTCCACATGATTCTTGATCGTTTTGTTGAACAGTCAAGAGAAGAAGAGGAAAACAAGCTTTGCATGCTTGTTGGGGAGATCCACCTGCACCCAAACAAAGAAGCAAACCATTCCCAAATATTTTTTTGCCAAAACACAAGATATTAGTAAGTAGTAACCAGACTCACCAGCAGCTTTGCAAAGAACACACCAGTGTGGAGATAAACAGCTATTGGGTCTTTTTCTTTGAAGTAAATCACCTACGTTAACTCTTTCTAGGAAAGCTTACAACAGAAACTCCCAACCCTTGGAGGTATAGGTTGACACCACACTTCCTTGACAAGGAATGACAAGCCAATAGGAATTTCCTATTGTATTAGGGCTTTAAAGAATGAGGCACAAGTAAAGGATCCGAAAGGAGACAAAGTCCAAATCCTACTATCTGTTTTTGTAGGGTCCAAGAAGACCCCATCAAGAATGGACAAGAGAGTTGAGGTACTATCCAACTATATAGAAGCTTTCTAGACACTTGATAATCTAAAGCATTATTCTTTTTTTTTTTTGATAAATGAAAGTAGTTTTATTAATTCAAAAAACAACAGTACAGTTAGCCTAGGAGGAGGCACGAGGTGTTACCTCCCCCAAGGACTGAGCCATAAACACTAAACATACACAAGCCTGAAGCACAGTTACAAAGTGGCCCAAAACAGATCTCCCCTTGATACCCCTTGCTTAGCCAGAGAATCAACCATTGCATTTGCTGATCTGCTGACCCACTGAAACCTAACTGACATATTTTTTGTCAGCCATTTAACTTTCTTTAACAGATCCCTGTAGCCCCAACAAGCTGTCTCTGGACTTGTCAACCAGCCCACTACTATCTTGGAATCCCCTTCTACTATCAAATTATCCACTCCAAGTTGACTAGCCATTTGTATACCTTGTACCGCTGCTAGTATCTCTGCCCTTACAGAATCACCAACAACCATTGGTCCTGAAAATAAAGACAACATGTTGCTATCTAAAGAATTATTCATTTATGAACTGATAACGAAAATTTTGGGGCCAAATCAGGATTTTCCCTTCAGTTCACAAAAGATTTGGTGAACGCATGCTAGATATTATGATTAAGAATAAGTTTCTTCACTCTTTCTTTATCTTCTTAGGATTTATTAGGAGAAGTTCTCCCATTGCTGCTCATATAGTAGTGCATATGAAAACTATTTATAAATAGATGAACTTGTGAAGGGATTCAAGGTTTAAAGTATCAGAAATGCAAAGAGTTTCAAAAAGGTGATTTTAAGAAACATATTGCTCTGGACACATATGCATACGGACAAAAAATCAAGATATGCATGGATGTGCTATGGACTCGCATAAATTTTAAAAATATATCAATAAAACTAAGTTCAGGACTCAAATTACTATAATAAATATAGTATAAAAATATCAGAAAACATATATTTTAATACTTTTATGTAAGAATGCTAGAAATGGCAAATGAATTAAAATTCATATGAAATTTATAAAGTGGGTAGCTTAAAATTTTAAGCTGTTACAAGTCATGGCTTTAGTTCAGTGGTTTGATCGGTATCTGTATTCTGGTAGTAACTTTTAATGCCATTAAATTTTAAATTTAAGGGTAAAATACTTAAACCTCCCTTCAAGTTTCTCCTAAATGCTAAAACCGCCCCTTTTCAAAATGGACTAAGACCTCTCCTATGGGGTGACGTCATACCTCCCCACAATTAGCAAGATCCATTTGCATATGACATCATAGGAGATGTAAATTTTCTAAAAACCCAAATTTTCCCTAATTTCTCATGAATTTCTTCTACCTCTGTATTAATGAATGGTAAGGCTTCCTTAGATCACCTCCACTCAAAGTTTGAATCACACGAGATGAAGACTGTTGGTTAAGTCATGGAAACATGGAAGGATAGACACCATGTGGCTTGGTTTTTTAGTTCTCATATTTTACTCTAAGTCACATTTAGTTGTGATGTAAATGCCAGATTGGTGCTTTAATGCACTTTGGTTCAGTTTTATATGCATTTAGTTAGATTGTAAAACTATATCGTGAATCAAGGTAAAAGTGGAGATTACCTTGAGAATCGAATGTAATGTTCAATAAACATTCTTCTTCCATCAAATAGGACCACCCAATAATGGCTGGTTGAAGGGTGACGATGACGATCTAGGCAACAACGATCAGGAAGGGACAATGACCAAGAAGGGTATTCTCATTGGTGATGGCAACCAAACAAGATTTTTTTTATGGTGACAAGAAGAGTATTGCCATTGTTGATGGTAACAATCTAGGCATTGAAGCATCTATCAAAGAAAAAAAAAAAAATCGGCATTGAAGCTTTTGTTCTAACCATCGGTTTGCTCAGATTTATTGGTTAAAGAGTCTTCGAGTCCAAAATTTGAACTTCTTTTCTAGTTTTCACTTCCTCTGTCTGAAAGGTTTCAAGAAATGGCAATTGATCTTTACTTGGACCAATGTCAAATCTGGTGAGAAACACCATATCTCCCTCTTTGCTAATGTAGATGCTAAAATGGCGAGAAACACCATTTCTCCCTTTGATCTGAGAGATCTACTTATTTTGTTGTTTTAGCCATATAGGCCTACTAAACAATAAATGTCCACTCCCTCTAAGAATAGCCCCAAGAACCCGATGAATAAGATTGTGCCACAGTTTCATGAGATAAGGAAATAGATGAGACAAACACGACACCCATATGCACTAAGCATGAATTTAGCGGTGGCAATTGGGCGGGTTGGGTCAGGTTTGGTTTGGGTTGAGCTTCAACCCAACCCATCTAACCCGTCAACCCATTAATGATACAGTTATATAAAATTAAATGGGTTGGGTTCAATCCAACCTGCCCAAACCCATTAACCTTATATTTATGGACTTAAAAAATAAACTAACTCTCTCTTAACAAATAAGTTGATCATAGTTTAGTGGTAATAGTACTTACTATTTACACGAGTGGTGAAGGTTCAAATCACATTACATGCATGCTATTTTTACACAAGAGGCGAAGCCATTTGACTATGTTCAGATTTCAGGTTTGACCAAACCACTTAGGTTCAAACCAATCAGACCAACTTGAACTATCTAATTGGATTATCTTCGAGCTAATCACATCAAGGGTGGTTGAACCTTTTAGATTTAGATCAATTCGGTCGGACCGGACCGGACCAGACCGGTTCAGTCAATGGTGGATTGACTTGGATCATCCATATCAGGTTTGTGCACGGGTTTGGGACCAAACCAACTGACTCGAAGTAGGTCAGCATAAGTAAATTAGGTTGGTCTAGATTCGGATCGGGTTGTGTGGATATTGGTCCGACCAGATGGTCCAGACCGAACAAAGCATGCGGACACCAAATCATCCCGCCCGGAACTGTTTCGGATTCGGGTCAACCCAGATCGGCTTGTGTCGGGTCAGGTCATGCTATGTGAATACTAGTTGGACCGGACGACCCAAACTAGGCAAAGCAAGCGATATCGAACCATCCCACTTGGGGTTTATTTCGGATTCGGGCTATATATGTTGGATCGGGTCATACCACATTGAATTGGTCCGGGCTCGGGTCAAATTGATTTGGATTTATGTTGGGTGAAGTGTGTTGATTCAAAACAAAACTAAATTTAGTCAATAATTAATAGAAAATTAATGCATTAATTATAAATTATTTAATTCAAGTGAAGAAAATTTAAAAAAAAGGCCAAAAAATTAATACTTATGCCTATAATGGTTAACCCAATGGTTATCCACAACCCAACCCATTTAAAAATGGGCGGGTTGGATGATGGATTGATCACACAACCCACCAAGTAAATGAGCGGGTTAGATACTGGGTGAATTGGATGGAGTTAGCGGGTTGGGTGAAAAATTGCCACCCCTAAGCATGATGACCAAGTATGTATGTCCTTGGGATTCCTAGGGGCACACAAGAACTCCATTTTGTTGTAAATCGAGTTGTGGCTAGGAGGAGGTTTCTAAGTTGACAGAGGTGGTAACCTTCATTTGCATTATACCTCGATAGTCCCCAAAGCATGACTACGTACTATAACTTGTGCACTTGATCCCCTCAAAAACCTCTGGAATTCTCATGTGACCAGGAGTGGCCAAGGCCTCTTTGTGAGAAGGGAACAATGGGCTCTAAGATTGAAAGTATTCATTGTCTCCCCTAGGAA